GTTGGCGTTCTGTTAATACATGATGCATTACATAGGGGGTATACATGGGTGAAATTGATATACATGTATACATTATGTTAAGAGTTTATAATATGAAGTTGTTTGTGGTATCTTAAGTTGTGAGTGTGTGTGTGTGTGTGTGTGTGTGTGTTTGTGTGTGTGTGTGTGTGTGAGTGAACCACACCATCCCTACCTCTGGCTTCACATCACCAGTCTGGGCGTGCCACACTAATTGGGCCACACCACATATTGCATCACCAAACAGACTAAGCCACACCACATTACACGTTGAATCACATAAAACAAGATAAAGCCAGCCACATCATTGTCCGAGTCACACCCCCCTACCTTGGCCACACCACCGGTTGAGACCACACTAACAGATGGCGCCCAGACCACCAGCTGAGCCACGTAATTAAGGGGATTGGTGAACCAGCTGGATGTAGACACTTACTGGGCTCAACCACCTGTCAAGTACCATGTGGGTGGTACACTGAGCCAGCTGGGGGCCACAACAAATGAGCCACACCCACCTGCTGTACACACACACACTGAGGGGGTGGTGGTGATACCTCTCTATATCAAATACCCATACCAACGAGTTTTAAACCACCACACCATACCAGCTAGGCCACACCATTGGGTCAAAAGTCACATCATAGGGAGTCAAACTAACGAGCCATACCAGGTCACACCAACACAGCCGCCACACTATGAGGCCACACCATTAGGCCACATCAGGGGGCCACACTATTAGGCCACATCAGCGGGCCACACTATTAGGCCACACCAGCTGGGCCGCTCCATGGCTGGCTTGACGTCATGGCGCGGCGGGTGACGTGGCCAGATCAATAGTAAATTTGGGTACACCTGCCGGAGCTCCTTCTCTCCCTACTGTTTACCCTTACCTGTCCCCTCACACCTGTCATTAAGCTGTGACTGTACACCTGTGCTCTCACCATACCTGTACACACACACACACCTGAACAAATAAATATACATCCACACCTGCATTCTTTTACACATGTATGGTATAAATCTACCTATTGACACACGTGCTGGGATTATTTTATTTACACAGGTGTTTTCATACTTTAGCTCACACACCTGTTTCACTTAAGTACATGTAAGTCTTCAGGAGTTAAGATAAACAAAAGTAAACAAAAGTAAACAATAAGTAAACAATAACAAAAGTACAACATTCAATCCCTAACAACACCTACACATACAATCTCAACACACACACACACACACACACATACACACACGTACATAAACCCACCACCCTCAGTCCCTCACAGCGCCATCTAGTGCTTGCAAGTGCACATCAACCTCGGCGTGAACTGCAGCTGAGACACAGTAGCTGAGATATGAGACCGCTAGGAGATATCTACATGTTATTGTCTCAGCAGCGATCCTAGCAGCTCCTTGTGGTGGTGAGGGGTGATGACGTGGTGAGGAGTGATGACGTGGTGAGGGGGTGATGACGTGGTGAGGGGTGATGACGTGGTGAGGGGTGATGACGTGGTGAGGGTGATGACGTGGGGAGGGTGATGACGTGGTGGATAGGGTGAGCGTGGTGAGGTGATGGTGAGACGTGGTGAGGGGTGATGACGTGGTGAGGGTGATGACGTGGTGAGGGTGATGACGTGGTGAGGTGATGACGTGGGGGTGATGACGTGGTGGGGGTGGATGGAGGGGTGATGACGTGGTGAAGGGTTGACGTGGTGAGGTGGAGACGGTGAGGGGGAGAGGGGAGAAAGGAGAGAGGGCGGACACATGTAGTAAGGTAAGGAGAGGATAGGAGAATAAGGGAGAAGAAGAGATAAAGGAGAGGAGAAGAAAGGAGAAAGAGAATAAGGGAGAGAAGGAAGAAAACAAGATAGAGACTCAGTGATTGACGCTGAGGTTGTCTGGGCGAGTATCTCTCTCTCTCTCTCTCTCTCTCTCTCTCTCCTCTCTCTCTCTCCTCTCTCTCTCTCACATGAACACGAAAATAAGAATAAGTCAGTAAGAATATGCACCTCCTCCCAATACAACAACCCCATAACTCCACCCCCTATAACCCACCCCCCCACAACCCACCCCCACAACCCACCCTCACAACCCACCCTTCCAACCCACCCCATAACTCACCCCACAACCCACTTCATAACCCACCCCAAAATCGAACTTTGGGTTGAGATGACAGATGACACCACCATCGACCCCCCAGGTGTTATTAGATCAAGGGGTCGATTCCTTCATTATGTCCTTCCCACCTCTTCCCCACCTCCTTTCTTTCCTACATCTTTCTCCACCCTCCTCTTCCTCTACATCTTTCTTTCTCCACCTCCTCCTCTTCCTCTCCACCTCTTTCTCTCTCCACCTCCTCCTCTTCTCCACTCTCTTTTCCTCCACCTCCTCTCCACCTATTTCTACTCCTTTCCATCTTTTCTTTCTTCCTCCACCTCTTTCTCCTCCACCTTTCTCTTCTCCACCTCCTCTTTCTTTCTCTCTTCCTCCACCTCCTCCTTCTTCCTCCACCTCTCCACCTCTTTCTCTTCCTCCACCTCCTCCTCTTCCTCCACCACCTCCTCCTCCTCCTCCTCCTCCTCCTCCTCCACCTCTTTCTTCTTCCTCCTCCTCCTCCTCCTCCTCCTCCTCCTCTCCTCCACCTTTCCCTCCCAGATTATCAGGAAAAAATCGATTCAGGTTTATCAGTAATGCAACACGTACCAATGGTGTAATGAGGGTGGGGGGGGTGGGGGTGGGGGGGAGAAGAGAGAGAGAGAGAGAGAGAGAGAGAGAGAGAGAGAGTAATAAAGATGCATAGAGAAGTGAAGAGCAATGAGGATAGAAATGAGGGAAGAAAAAGATATATTTAGTAGAGGAGGGAAAAAGGGGGATAAGAGGAAAAACCCCTACATATTAATCCAAAATGTTAATTCATCCTTCTCATAACCTATTTTTTTCTCCGCAGTAAAAAAAAAATAAATAAAAAAAATTGTCGACGGGGTAAAATTATTAAACAAATGACGGGAATAACTCAGCCACGATGTTTAGTGTGGTGGGGTAGGGTGGTAGTGGTGGGGTGTGTAGGTGGTGTGTGTGTGTTGTGGTGTGGGTGTGGTGTGGTGGTAGTGGTGGTAGGTGTGTGGTGTGTGTAGTGGTGTGGTAGGTGTGTGGTTGTGTGTAGGTGGTTGTGTGGTAAATGTGTGTGGTTGTGGTGGTGTGTGTGTGTGGTGTGGTGATGGTGTGTGGTGTGTGTGTAGTGGTAGTGATGGTGGTGAGGTGTGTGTGTGTGTGTGTGGTGGTATGATGATGGTGTGTGGTAGCGGTAGTAGTGGTAGTGAGTAGACTAATAATAATAATAATAATAATAATAATAATAATAATAACAACAACAACAATAATAGCATAAGAACAACAAAAACATCAACAATGACAAAACCAACAAAACAAGTCTCTCACACGTACAGGACAGAGGCCACAGCCAAGTTACATATAAGGTACATAGAGCAAGCAGTATATGGGGGTATATTTTTCCACCCTACAACACACATTACTAACTCTAGGGAGCAATTAATTCAGTTTATCTACAGCAGAAACTCACTCTGACGGGACCTTCAAATTTAGGTGTAGTGCTCTCTCTCTTTTTTCTCTCTCCTTCACCGTCCTTCCTTCCTCTTCCTTCCTTTCTTTTCTTTCCTCATTCCTTCCGTTCTTTCTTTCCCTTCCTTCCTTTCTTCTTTCATTTCTTTCCTTCCTTCATTCATTCCATCCTTCCTTTCTTTCCTTCCCTTCCTTCCCTTCCTTCCTTCCTTCCTCCTCACTAAAGAGACGCCTGGCCAATGACCGTCCAACCCCCACGGGCCATAAACAAGAATACCTCATCATAAATCAACATACAGCGGAACTTATTTAACGGACTGTATGAGAGGAAATTCCGTTATATCAAGGGTCCGTTAGATATGAAACCTCCATCTAACGGATTATAAGGAAAGAAATCCGTTATATCGAGGGTCCATTAGATGTAAAACCTCCATCTAACGGACTGTACAGAAATACAAGTCCGTTATATCAAGGGTCCGTTAGATATGAAACCTCCATCTAACCTAACGGATTATAGGGAATGAGGAGTCCGTTATATGGAGGTTTCTCAGCGGTGGCCGAGTGGATACAAAGCTCGTGTCCTGTCCTACCCTAGAGAGAGAGAGAGAGAGAGAGAGAGAGAGAGAGACCTATCTCCTCAGCCTCCTCCTCTTCTCCCTCCTGTCTCCTCAACTAACGCACCCTCTCCCTTCCCCTCCTATTCCACCCCTTCCTTTCTCCTCCTAAGCTATCTCCCCCACTCATCCTCCCTCTCTCCTTCACGAGGCATCTACCCCCACCTCTCCTCCTTCACCCTCGAGGCCACAAGTAGTTATCAGGCAAGAATCAAAGAAGGAAACCTACGTCATCCATCCTCCTCCTTCCTTCCTTCCTTCCTTCCTTTCTCCTACTACATGCCTCACTTAACCTCTCTCAATAGCTTAATACGATAACTTTTTTCTCTCTCTCTCTCTCTCTCTGACACACACACACAAACTTTACACTAATGACATTATTTCGTCCCCGGTAATGAGTTGTAATTCCACAGAGAAAGTTCCATGGAAAAAAAACACAATATAAAATAATGACGTGGTGGGTGGGTGACGTGGGGTGGTAAGTTCTCGGCGCATCCAGCTGTAGCCAGAGGAGGGGGTCCATTCCAGAGGGGGGAAAGAGAACTTTGAGGGGGATAAAACTTGGTGCTTAACTGGACAATCTAAAGAAAAGTCAAGAACCCAAAAAGGGATTTTTAAACCCTTGAGGACGATGATTTAACCTTTGAGGACGATGATTTAACCCTTTGAGGACGATAACTTAAACCTTTGAGGACGATAACTTAACCTTTGAGGACCATCAATAACCCTGCAGGATTCAAAAAATATTAATACGAACAATAAAAACAGCAAAAACAATCAGACAAGCATTACCTTAGCGATCTCTGGCTTCTGGCGATGAAGTTACAGTAGGAGACGTCGACGAAGCTCCGCCGACAACTGTGAAGCTTCTGTTCCATGAGGTCAGTACGTTTTATTAAGCTTAGTCCTGTAGAAGGAAGCCAAGGACACCATCAGTAACATTATATAATCCACACGCAACACCCATACGTAACGCTCACAAGTAACACTGACATGTAACACTCATATGTAACACTTACATGTAACGCTCATATGTAACGCTCACAAGTAACACACACATGTAACACTCATATGTAACATTCACAAGCACACTATAACACCGTCATGTAACTCTGACATGCAACACTCATATGTAACACTCGTATGTAACACTCAAGGCACATCACATGTAACACTCATACGTAACACTTATATGTACACTGTATGTAACACCTACACACACTCACATGTAACACTCATACGTAACACTCATATGTAACACTCACATGTAACACTCACATGTAACACTTTAACGTAACAATCATACGTAACACCACACGTGCACACACACACACACACACACACACGTACACACACACACACACACACACTCAAACACAACATCACACGCAACACACACACACGCAACACTCAACACACACAACACTCCCACAAGTAACACTCAACACGCAACACTCAGCCCCAAAAAGCATCCTTACAGTTTTTATTAAAGATTATGTCAACACAAGTCTTGGTAAGTGTTTATAATTCATCCGTAAAGATACTTTTTTTTAGGGGTAACGAGTGTATTACAGTTAAAACCTCTATATAACGGACTTCTATATAACGTAATATAAACTCTTACATTATAGTCTTGAGGTCTTATATATAACAGACTAAAGTCCGTTAAAAGGAAGTTTTATATATAACGGACTTCCATTAACGGACTAACCTCTCACATATTAGTCCGCTATATAGAGATTTCGCTGGACATGTAAAAAATATCAATATATACAAATTTCTCATTTCTAACACGAATATTTACAAAAAAGTGTTAATAAGTACAAAAGACAGACAGACTAACAGACAGACAGACTGACTGACAGACAGACAGACAGAGACAGACAGACAAGTAAGGTAAGGTCAGGTAAGGTAGACGATCAGAATAGAAGGTACAGTTAATGAGTTGTGTTTCGTTACATAACACAATGGTGAAATATTACAGGTGTGTAGGTGTGTAGGTGTGTTTTCCACTACTCCTCCAGGTGTGTAATTAGTACCTTTGTATATAATCAACTGGTCACCTGAGTTTTTGTTCCCGCTACGAAACTTCTTCCTTAAGTATGTATGTATTCGTACTGTGTGTATGTATGTATGTATAAAATATACATATATATACATACAGGTATTCATAATTTTCCTAGTACCATTGTCTTCATACTACCAGGTACAAGAGGGCTAAAGAAGTGAAAATCCCAACTACAAACACGTGAAACACTCCCATAAGGCCTTTGAGTCTCATTGGACAAAGACTCAAGAGGCTTTAATCTTTCTTACATAAAGTTGAAAAGCTTTAAGAAATCACGTTGAGGAGCCTCTTAGGTGGGGGGAGGGAGGATTTTGGGAGGAAGATGAGGAGAAGGATTTAAGAGATTGAGGGAGGAAGGGGATTTTGAAGGAGGAAGGGGATTTGTGGAGGAAGTGGATTTGAGGAAGGGGAATTGAGGAGGAAGGGATTTTGAAGGAGGAAGGGATTTTGAGGGAGGAGGGGATTTTGAGGAGGAAGGGGATTTGAAGGAGGAAGGGATTTTAAGGGTTTGAAAGGAGGAAGGAGGAACGAGGAGGGGTTTTGTGTGGGAGAAACGGGATAGGATAGGAAGAGGATATGGGGAAGAGGAGGAGAGGAAGGGGAGGAGAGGAAGGGGAGGAAAGACAGGAGGAGGTGAAGGACAGGAGAAGGGAGACGAAAAGTTTCAACTTAACCACAAAAGACATGAATAAAGTGTAATATTATCCCCAAAAAGATGTAAATAAACTCCAACTTTAAATCAGTATCCCATCACCGTGTATAGTGAAGATAACAAACTAATGCACAGGACAGCCGCTGGGACCTTCTTATACACGCGTACGAACCAACTGTATCAACTCAACATCATGACAACCTATATATAGTGGAAACCTCTATTAACGGATTATATAGATGAAAGTCCGTTATATGGAGGTTTCACATTTAACACTCGATATAACGGACATTCTCTTCCATATAGTCCGTTAAATAGAGGTTTCACAGTATCCATCTACCAGTAAGTCTTCAGGTATGTAATAAAAATTAATAAATATAAACTTAGCGGCTTAAAAGAAAATAATAATATTCTGGTTCAATTAATCACAAAAAAATTACAAGAAAACTTTTATAATTACAAAAACACCAAAAAACGAGAATATCAGAAAAAACACGATCACAGCTTCAGGAGTAACACACGTCTAAAACATGTTCATTCATGTTCATGTTATCAGAGGTAGAAGAACGTCACCGAGTCATATCAACCCCCCCCCCCCCATGTATATGAGTGTGGACAAATCCTTAAGTTGCCCCTAGATTTCTTTTTACCTCCCCGCCTAAAAGTTTTCTCCCCACACCCTACAGTAGTATTTCCCCCGCCTCACAAGTTTTCCATCAAGTTTAAACCCTCCCCAAAAAAAAATTAAGAGGAAACTTAAACAATTGACATTTTGTATAAAGAGAGAGACACACACACACACACACACACACACACACACACACACACACACACACACACACACACACACACACACACACACACACACACACACACACACACACACACACACGTTACCTAGCCATATACTAATTACATAGACAACGTTTTAATCCGTGGCTCCTCTCTCTCTTCCTCTTAACTAACAAGGAGAGGAACAACTCCCCACTCCCCATTCTCTTCTCTCCCCCTCATCCATCCCTCTCTCTCACTAACAATCCCCTCTCACCACTTGCAGCACACATATATCCCCTCCGACTCCCCGGCGTGACTCTGCCTGTCCTGGGTCAGAGGTCGGCACACCACCCATCCAGAGCCCAAGATCAATAGAGCTCCCAGATATCGCTCCTCAATGTTTTACAAGATACCCCCGGCAGCCAGGCTTCTCACCCCCTCCCCACTCTCTCCCCCTCCTCTCTTTTTTTCCCTGTCCCCTCAGCCCGTCACCTCCTTCCTTCACCCCACCTCCTCACCCTGTCTCCAGGTTGCAAGGCTCACCACAGCTGCACTATAATATAACAGAGAGAGATGGATGAATACACGAGAGAGAGAGAGAGGAGAAGGAAGGAAGGAAGGAAGGAAGGAAGGAAGGAAGGAAGGAAGGAAGGAAGGAAGGACAGGTCACTGCTTCTGTGATTTCAAAGACTTTTTTTAAAGGATTCCCGTCACGTCCGGCCAACTCCTCCTCCCCGTCTTCCCTCCTCACGTCCCACTCTTCACTCCCCGTCAGTACGTCCTCTCATCATCATCATCCGCGTCCCACTGCCCTACCTCACCACGTCACCAAACAATACTCCAACAGCCCCATCCACATCATCTACACGAACCCAACAACCTCATCCTCACCACACCCTCATCCAAACCACCACACCACTCCACAACCAGTAACCCACACCATTCCATTAATCCCATCCACACCACGCCACCAACCCCATCCACACCTCTCCACATCACACACGCCAACCCCACTAAAGATTTACACTTAACTGAATTTTCACGTCATTCCTCAGGTGTACCGGGGTGCAGCAAGCTTAAAACGTGAGGCAAGGTATACCCATTAAGGCACTTTAAAGATGAATGAGGATCTACCCCCCCCATCCTCCCTCTTTCCACCCCCCACTTTCTCTCCTCCTCTCCCACCTTCCATCCCCCAACCTCTCCCTGGAGCAAAAAAATTAACATTATATTATTTTACCTTTAAGATATTTTGAGAGTAATTTAAAGTGTGTGTGTGTGTGTGTGTGTGTGTGTGTGTGTGTGTGTGTGTGTGTGTGTATACCATATCTCCCTACCACTACCCTCTCTATCACAATAAGACTCTACTGAAGAAGGTTACTCCAGAAGTAACATCTCGTCAGGTATAACTACGGCAGCAGAGGGGGTAGGACAAGGACATATAGCGTACAAGTCCCAAGTCCCGTCAAGGTCTGGTATTAGAGGGACATTTATTTCTCACCACGGGAAGATTTCTGACCTCAAGGTATCTCACACAATAACAATATCATATAAATTAGAGAAAGATCGAGTAAAAACAACCTAAACGATACTAAATGGCGATAGCGACGATACGATAATAAATGACGATCGTGACGAAAGAGGTGGGAGCAAGTAGTAGTGGGGAGGTGGTCGTCTTCGGTAGGTGAAGAGGTCGTTCGTCTACAGCAGGTGTTAGAGGGTCGTCAAGGAGTGGTAAATCTTCATCGGTTAACCTCCCTCCTTTCTGTGTCCTGTTGAGCCCAGTTGCTATATCTGGCAGGTATTATGGGCAGGGAGAAGTTATGAGGTGAGTGGCGCCAGCTGACGTGTTTGTCTTGTTCAGCGATGGTGTCTCCTAGCGGCGGTTGGGAGAATGCTGTACCAAAGTCTCTCTCTCTCTCTCTCAATTCATACTCTTAACATATCCCAATTTCTTTACATACCCTCACGAACCTCCAATTTAATCCAATTAAAATATAATTACTCACTGTCTAAAAAATAATATAATGGCAAGTTTATGAAAAATTAGAAAATATAATTTTTCCTCCCACAATTCACAAGAAGTCCAAATGCTTTTTTTTTTTTTCTTCTGAATTATTTTCTTTCTCAGCAGTCGTCAAAGTTTATACAAAAGCGTCTTGAAAAGGTTATTGTTGACCCTTAAGCATTCAGAGAGGGTGGGGAGGAGGGGGTTGGGGGAGGGGGAGGGGAGGAGGAGTCACACAGGAAGAAACAACAACAGATTTTAGAACAAACACACACAAAGACTCCTCCTCCTTCTTCTTCCTCTCCTCTTCCTGACCTCCTTCTCTTTCTTCTCCTCTTCCTGACCTACTCCTTCTCTTTCTTCTCCT